TTGGTTGTTTTTTTTTAACAAGGATAGTTGCTAACATTTATTTGAAGTGACTTAAATGCCCATGTTTAAGTCATAAGTAGAACAGTTGTTTTTAGAACATTTAGATCAATGAACCTTTAATTTTTCTTCACAACAATGGCATCAATGTACATGTAGTGCTTTGCCTTGCTTTTCTTGAGTTAACTACATGTCATGGTGATTATATGTTGAAACGATAATATCCTGGATATACTTGTTTAACTAAAGTGTTATTAAGATTAATTCCACTTGTCTCTTTTTCATTTTTTGAGTGGCTAGTAGGTATCATGGCTTTTATTTCTATCAGACATAGAGTATTTCAGGAAAGAGGTAATCATGACTATCGGGAGATAATTCTCCATAGGTGTCAAGTTTCTGTAGATCTTGTAAGTAAAGCACTGAGTGCTCTTTATTCCAACATATCTTCCCAAAGTTATTTGTATAAAGAACAGTCCTGGAAAATGAAGATAATATCTCATTGCAGAGCAAAGAGAAGGCATACTTACTGCCCATTATAAAAGATAAAGATTTCTTCAGCTCAAGGTTCCTCTTTGGTGACTAAATCCACTGTGTATAGAAGTGTCACTTGACCCTCTTTGCATTGTCTTGTGGGAACTGGGGTTCAGAAAACTAGTACAAAAATGCTGATGTTCTAGGTACTGTTATTGCAATGATAAGTAATAAATGTTTGCTTTTTATAATAAACTTTTCTCCATCGCTGACCCAGAAGACTTGGGTCTTCTACTAGCATCCATGAAATTGTGCCAAGCTAACTTGTTGGCTTACAAGAAAAGTTAAATCTCACACCTTTCTTGACAGTGACTCTGTCAGCTATATACTGCTGTATAACAAACTGCCCCAAAATTTAGAAGCTTAGAAAAATAAAAATTAAAGGCAGACATGTATATCAAGGGAATGAAATAGAGAGTCCAGAATAGACACAAAGAGATCAAATGACTTTTTTAGAAAAGTTCAAAGGCAATTCAATGTAGTAAAGAGAATCTTTTCAATGAATGATGCTGGCACAAATGACTATATATATGCCCAAATGAACAAAATTCCATATATCACATCTTATATAAAAACTAACCCAAAATAGACCATAGACATAATTTAAAATCTAAACCTACAAAACTCTCAAAGTAAACATGAAGAAAAACTTTGTGAACTAGATTAGGCCAACAGTCCTTAGATATGTTCCCAAAGTACAATCCACAAAAGAAAAAAATGATAAATTCGGGTTCAGAAAAACTATAAATCTTTGTTGTATGAGGACATTGTTAATACAAATCATAAAATGGAAGCATATATATGTAAATAACATCTGGTACAGGACATATCTAGGATATATAAAGGACTCTTAAGACTCAAAAGTAAGAAAACAGGCAAATTTTTAAAAATAAGAAAAATATTTGAACAGATATACAATCTACATTTAAAATGGGCATAGGACTGTTTATAATAGCCAGGACATGGAAGCAACCCAGATGCCCATCAGCAGACGAATGGATGAGGAAGCTGTGGTACATATACACCATGGAATATTACTCTAAATGGAAAAAAAAAATAAATAAAATGGGCATAGGAACAAAGGACTATTTAGTCCAAATGGACAATTCAAAACTAAGATGTAAATATTACCAAAAGCAATGAAAGGACATTCAATCCTATTTGAAGTCAGGTAATTGCAAATTAAAATAAGAAAATATTTTTCCCCATAAAACTGCAAAAATAGAAATACTGATAATATCATGTGATGGAGAAGGAATGAAGAAATAAATGAACACTCAGATTTTATTGGCTTTCATACAAATTATTTAGGAAGTAATTTGGTAATAGATATTATAACTCAAAACTAAAATATCATTTGAGCTAATATTTTGAATTCTAGTGATCTATGAAAATAAAATCATGAAAGTATAAAGATGGGTAGAGATGGATATTCTATTATAAACTATACTGAAAAATGGGCAGCAATCTCAATATCCATAAAAGCATGATTAAATAAACTACAATGTAACCATATAATTGAAAATGAGGAAAAAATATTAGGCAAATGAGGAAAAAATACATATTGATTTGTTAGTGTAAAAAGCAAATTTCACACAAGTACAGAGTGATTCCATTCCTGAAAATATAAGTGGGGCTGCTTCTCCATATAGATTTCTTGCAACTGCTCAAGAAAAGATTGGAAAGAAACTTAATGTAAGTCACTTACAGTTCAGTTCAGTCACTCAGTTGTGTCCGACTCTTTGCGACCCCATGGACTGCAGCACGCCAGGCCTCCCTGTCCATCACCAACTTCTGAAGTTTATTCAGACTCATGTTGTCCATCACCAACTCCCGAAGTTTATTCAGACTCATGTCCATTGAGTCGGTGATGCCAAACAACAATCTCATCCTCTTCTCCCCTTCTCCTCCTGCCTTCAATCTTTCCCAGCATCAGGGTCTTTTCAAATGAGTCAGTTCTTCACATCGGGTGGCCAAAGTATTGAAGTTTCAGCTTCAGCATCATCCTTCAGATGAACACCCAGGACTGATCTCCTTTAGGATGGACTGGTTGGATCTCCTTGCAGTCCAAGGGACTCTCAAGAGTCTTCTCCAACACCACACTTCAAAAGCATCAGTTCTTCGGTGCTCAGCTTTCTTTATAGTCCAACTCTCACATTCATACATGACTACTGGAAAAAAATCATAGCTTTGACTAGACAGACTTTTGTTGCCAAAGTAATGTCTCTGCTTTTTTTTTTTTTTTGGTATTAGTTGGAGGCTAATTACTTTACAATACTGTAGTGGTTTTTGCCACTCATTGATATGAATCAGCCATGGATTTACATGTGTTCCCCATCCTGAACCTCCCTCCCACCTCCCTCCCCATCCCATCCCTCTGGGTCATCCCAGTGCACCAGCCCTGAGCACTTGTCTCATGCATCAAACCTGGACTGGCAATCTGTTTCACACTTGATAATACACATGTTTCAATGCTATTCTCTCAGATCATCCCACCCTCACCTTCTCCCACAGAGTCCAAAAGTCTGTTCTATACATCTATGTCTCTTTCTCTGTCTTGCCTACAGGGTTATCATTACCATCTTTCTAAATTCCATATATATGCATTAGTATACTGTATTGGTGTTTTTCTTTCTGGCTTACTTCACTCTGTATAATGGGCTCCAGTTTCATCCACCTCATTAGAACTGATTCAAATGTATTATTTTTAATGGCTGAGTAATATTCCATTGTGTATACGTACCACAGCTTTCTTATCCATTCGTCTGCTGATGGGCATCTGGGTTGCTTCCATGTCCTGGCTATTATAAACAGTGCTGCGATGAACATTGGGGTGCACGTGTCT